GAGACTTTAAAATATGAAATAACTTCCAGTGATAAAAGAACATACTATTAAATTTGGTTACATAAAGATAAGAAAACACTTTTTGAGAAATGTTAAAATGACAACCTAGGAGAATATATTTGCAGCATATATTTCACATAAACGGGTTATTGTTGTTGTTGTTATTAAGTGCTGTTAGGTCGGTTCTGACTCATAGTGACCCTGTCTAGGGTGTCCGAGGAGTGGCTGGTGAGCTTGAACCACTAACCTTGCAGTTCAGACCAACTTTGCAGTAGACACTCTAATACACGTAAAAAGCTATTTAAAAATGAAATCATGATAAACAAACATGAGTCACATAAAGTTATTATGCAAATGGAATGTGTGTATGTATGTGCCTACAACACAAGATACTCAACTTTTCACAGAAATGGAAATTAAAACTACATCAAGATATCTGTCATAATTTGGGTTCCTTGTGCAACAAACTCTGGGATGAAGATTTACCTTCAGGATAGTAATTGCAGAGAGGATCAGAAATTGTGGAAAGGAGGGATAAGGAAAGCTTAGGCAAAAGAATTTGAGCTGTGATACCACTCGAATGAAAGTCTCAGGTCACCTCAAAGGGAGTTCTGAACTGGCATGGCTCTGCAACATACTGTCAGGTTAAGTCAAGAGGTCTGAGCCTCTATCCCCCAGGCTCCATCAGGGTACCCTTGGATGGGGTTGCCTTTGAAAAGAGGTATGATTTGGGGTGAGTCCGTTTCCTTCAGTCAAGGCAATTCCCATAGAAAATAGACAGCTGAGTATCATCTTCTAGGAGCCCGTCATTCCCAAAGGGGGTTCTGGTCAACACATCATAGCCTTCAGAATATCTTCATTCCCCCCACCCCCATCAGACTGGCTAACTTTCAAAAACTGAACAGTGTCCTCTTTAACAAATCTGTGGGAATATAACCATTGCTGGTGGGTGTGCAGAATGATAATACCTTTACTGAGGAACAACTTATCCTTATGATATACTCCTACATATGAAGGTACTTCAAAAAGCTTATGGAAAAAATCATTCCATTTTCCTTTGAACTTTCTGAAGTCTTCTCACATTACATATTTCTATTTCTATTACATATTTATATATATTGATATAATATTAAATATACATAAGGAGCTCTAGCAGCATAGTGGTTATGAGTCAGGCTGCTAACCTCAAGGTTACTATCTACCAGCAGTTCCAGGGGATATGGAGAGAGGCTTTCTGCTCCCATTAAAGATTACAGCCTTGGAAACCCTATGCAGGGTTGCTGTGAATAGGATTGGACTCCAAGATACACTACCACCACCACCACCACCAAATATATATACATACACAGAGAGTCCATCATTGCAGCATTATTTGAGAAGTGAAACACTGAAAGGTGATTGAATGAATTATGGTACTTCCACACAATGGATGATTACAAGATGAAAAGGACAGATGATCTCTGAGAATGAATGTCGAATGAGTTCCATGTTGTTATTGTTAAGTACCTTTGATTTGGTTGTGACTCACAGCGACCCTTACAGAGTTTTCAAGGAGCAACTGGTGGGTTCGAACCACTAACCTTGCATTTCAAACTGACCTTTGTGGTCCAGTGCATTATTCTGTAGCACCACACCAGGACTCTTGGAATGTATTTATGTGTATATGTGAATTTAATGCTACATTTATATTTATTTTGCTTGTTTGTTTGTTTGTTTGTTTTCCAAAACAAAGTTAAATAAGCTAAATAAAAAATTCCATGTGATGTATGAGAATGAGTAGAAAAATGAAAATAATACTATTCTTAGTAGAAACTCTTATTCTGATTCATATTTCATAACCATATGTATATTTAAAACAAAAATTAAGTCAAAAGAATAAAAACTCAAATCCTAGATTTAAATCCTAAGAAGTTTTAATAACTTTACCCCAATTTGCTCTACCACATTCATAGTTATATTTGTAGCAAAGGTAAGTCCCCATGTACAAATATCCTTTGTCAAACCAATATGCATTTGTAGATATATTCCTACTTTGTCTCCTGTACCCATTCAGCCTGGATGTATATCCACGCATCTACACATAGGTCAATGCTATTGCAGGGTTGTGTATTTACCTCCGTTTCCTCTCATTTTTGCACTCTCCCAGAGGCTTCCCTGTTGTTGTTGTTAAGTGTTATCAAATTGGTTCCAACTCATAGCGACTGTATAATGTTTCCAGGGAATAGCTGGTGAGTTTGAACTGCCAACCTTACAGTTCAAAACAACCCTGCAGTACAGCACATTAAACCACAGCACCATACCAAGAGTCTTCCCTAGCCTTAATCATTTCTTTACCAAAATACCTTTTAACATGTGTCTGCATTATAGACCTTCTGACTTAATTTAAGCTAAACATTTTTAGCAAGAACCCTATGTAGTTGAAATTGGTTACTCCTCCTGCTTCATATTAGGAGGCGCCTCATTACCATGCTTGAGAATGCTCTTGGAGTGGAAAATGCTAGATCTATTCACTGTAAAAATATTGTAATTAAAAATGAGGTGGAAGTTGCTCATTATATGAATTTCCTTTTCCCAACCAACATTTCACTCAGTAATTTTAACATCCATGGATGGCCTCTTCCTGACTAAATTCTAATTTCAAAGTGATTTTCTAATTCTAACATCCTTTCTAGATTTATTAAATGAGATTTATTTGTAAAGAAGAGTTTTCTTACATTTTTGGTGTACATGTGCTCACTCATTTCCTTTCTACCTTCTATCCTCATACTGTTATAAACAGCAACAACTTTTTTTTTTTTTAATGCCATGTTATATTTATGATTGTGAAATTGTCTAAATGTAACTCCTTGAAGCCAACCACTCTATTATTTGAATACCATTTCTTTAGTCATGGGTAATGCTGTAAGATCAGCATGGGACTATAAACTACAAAGTCAGTAGTTCAAATTCACCAGCTGCTCTTTTGAAACCGTATACAGGGTTGCTATGAGTAGGAACCTACTCAACGACACTTACCAACAACAACATTAGTCATTAAACACTTCCCTGATGTCTTCTACCTGTTTTCCTTCTCATTTGTATCTAAAAAGTATGATTTGGTGAAAGGTTTACAGAGCACTTCAGTTTTCCATTCAACAATCCATATATATTTTTCATTTCACTGACTGGAATCTCCAAATATAACATTATTTATCCCAGTGATCCAATTTTTTCCAGTAATTCTTGTTTCCATTCCTCCTTAAGCCGTAACCCTTCTGAACTTTGTCCTTGGGTAAATGCTGCCTTTTTAAAATCACAAATGCTTATTTACTCCAAGGTGTGCATGCCTTGTGATTGTTCCCCTTATAAATCTGTCTATTGTTTGGTTGAAAATTGAGTCCTAGGGGTGAGTTCATTTCCAGACATAAAGGGTGAGTAAGGTATATAGTCTCAGGGGTTCCACCAATGTCTAAGCAACGTGTAAACCTGTTTTTTCTTATTATTTTGATTTTTGAGGTGTTATTTTTTCACATTTCCCCCCATTCTATCCAGTATTTTCTACAGTGATCCCTTTCAGAGCAATTACTGATGGTGGCTTGGCACCATTTAGTTCTTGTAGGCTCAACATTGTGACATGCTCCATTAGTCCATTGGTCTAATTATTGTCATGTGTCTTTTATCTTCTATACTTTTCTTTCATCTAGACACGAAGAGACCAATACTTACACTGAGATGACTGGTCATGAGTTTTTAATATCTTATTCCCTACTCACAGAAGATGAAGAACATTGTCTTTGTGTATATGTTATGCTAATTGAAGGAGCTCTGGTAGCGTAGTGGTTACGAATCAGGCTGCGATCCTAAGGCACAGCAGTGTGAAACTACTAGCTGTTCCGCGGGAGAAAGATGAGGCTTTCTGCTCCCATAAAGATTTACAGCCTCAGAAACCCTGTACAGGGTCGCTATGAGTCGGAACCGACTCCACAGCACATAACAACAACAACAATTGAACTTGGTGCCCCCTGAGACTATTGTCCTGAGTTCTCCAGGTCCACTGACTCATTCCCTCAGTATGTTTGGTTAAGTCTATCATTGTTGTTAAGGGCCATTGAGTCGATTCCAATTCATAGCCACCATGTATGCGTTTCTGAGGAGAGGCTGATGGGGCCTTTGAACCAGGGGAGGATAAATATCCCAGATATAGACACTTGATGCATCGAAATAACAATCCTCTGAGTATTCATTGATCTATTCTTTCAATCTTTCTGAATGCTCATAGGCAATTGCTTTTTAAGAGTAAAAGTTTAGAAATGTCAGAAGAAGAAATAAACTATATTTTATATAATAAAATACCATATGGCTATCAGTGTGAACTATCACTGTTATTGCTAAGTGCCATCAAGTTGGTTCCGACCCATAGCGACCCTGTATAGGGTTTCTGAGAAGCAGCTAGTGAGCTTGAACTGCTGATCTTGCAGTTCAAACGGCTTTGTTGTCTGGTAACTTAACCCACAGCGCCACATCAGGATTCTGAACTATCATTATCACTATAATCATCAATATAGAGCAATATTAGAAACAAATTATTGGATGAAAATATTAAAACTTATAGTAATGCACATAAGCACCTAACAATGAATAGTTCTTCAGCGTAGGTGGTTTTTTTTTATTGTTCCTAATTTTTTTTTTTTTTTTAATTAATGCTGTTCAGAATGCATTGCTGATGATCATTTAGAGAGGAGACATTAACATGCTATGTTGGTACAAAATGTCAAGAAGAGATACCGGTGACCATAGTATGAGTTTGTTTCCTGAGTACTTTTGCTGCTTTGCAGGAACAAAAACACCACTGTTGCCTAAGTCTTTCTTTATATGGATGTGTGTATTCTTGATATTGCAAATGATAAACTAAGTGTTAATCAAGAATTCAAGAAATAAAAGTAACACTGGCTATTTGTGCTTTAGAGTTTGCTAGAGTTAGTTATATAAAAAGAAAATCAATAATTTCTGTCTCTTTGCAGAGTAAAAGCGAGCAAATTACCGTGCGGCATCTGACATCAGGAAATTGGGAAGTGACTAAGATCTTGGCATATGATGAAAATACTCAAAAAATGTGAGCATTATTTGGTTCTGTGGTCAAACTGAATGTCAGGGTTGCCGAATGACATTTGTTCCGGCAAAATGGCTTTAGCATGTAAAGAACCAACTTTTTCTTAAAGAAACATAAAGGTGAGGGAGAGGAGAGGCAGAGATTAAGAAAGGTCCAGAAAAAATGAAGTAATCTTATAAAGAAAATAAGTTTTTCAAATGGACAAAGCTCTGTTGTCAAATAGCAGAAAAGCCCCTGCTCTTTCTTTGACAGTTTTCAGAATTTGACTGATAGCTCAGCTTGGCAAAATTAGATGTGTAGCTGATGTTTATGTTATTTTGTTTTGGACAGTTACTTTCTGAGCACGGAGTCTTCTCCCAGAGGAAGGCAGCTTTACAGGTAAGCATGTGCAAGGCTCTTCCTCCACAGGTCAGCTTCAAAATGGCCATCCACACAGCAAAATGAAGGGAGAAAATGCGATCTGAATTTGCATTTTCAATATGGATAAAGGCAACTAACATTGTACAATAAAGGCCCACCCTGTTTGTTCAGCCCCATCACTCGGGACCTCTGTAAGACTCCTGGACTACAGCCTGCATGGAGACAACTTTCCCCACTGCTGCTCTGAAATTTTCCTTACGTGCTACTACCATCTCAAAATGTCTTCTTATGTGAGTGAGACTTGCATCTCACATCACAGCACATACATAGTTTCCAGTGACCTCTTCTGCTAAACTTCAGTTTGAATTTTCAGTGCATTAATGAGGCACTCATGTAATTTTTTTGTTAATAATAAAAAGCCATTGTGAACACAGAGTTAAAATATATTAAATGGAAGTTTTCCCTTGTTTCCTTATGTTGTAAAATCCATTGAGATTATTATAGGAGGATGCTTCCTTATGTAAGCCAGGAATGTTTGCTGCTTGCTCAAATAAAGCAGACCTTAAGGGAATATTTACATCTACCTGATATTCCTATATGCAAAGCTATATTCATAATAGGGGCAGAAAATCACACTTGTTAAGTATTAAAATGATACTTCACACAGAAAGCCTTCACCAAGACCTCATAAGAATGATTTTTCAAAAATATATTTAATGTCTGGAAAACAACCTATTAATTTTAGTTTTTATATATGCTTTGTCATTTCCATTTCACAGATCCATTTTTAAAGTGTCAAAACTGCCATGGCTTATTCTCAGTAGAAATTCATGTCTGAAAAAGTGTCACCATTGATTCTTACCAAGTAGTCTAAGCTCTCCTTTGAGATTAAAAAATGTATACTTACAGACTCCTAGCGCTCCTATACAGTCTTATTTATGTGTGATTTGCTTTTATCTTTTTATCATCTCTCTCAATGTCATTTTCATATTTCTGCTTAATTTCTTTGTGTTTCCTGGAATCCATGTTCACAATTCTAATGACTTCTTAAGGAAAAGACCTACTTATTTAGAGAGTGTGATCTAATTTTGATTATAAGATTTTGATTAAAGTACAGTCCAGTATTCTTTGCGGTAACTTGAAGCTTATCTTTATTGAAATATATACTTTACAATTGATATTGGGGACCTTAGGGGCCTGTGAATACTTAATTGATAACTTATACCTATCTTTTGTAAAACTCTTTAAGAAAAACAACAGTTTGAGACTATTGTTGTAGTTGTTAAGTGCCATTGAGTCAGTTCCAACTCTTAATAACCCTGCATAGGGTTTCTGAGGAGCGATTGGTGAATTTGACCTTAGTTTAATTAGCAGTTCAGTGTTTAGCCTATAACACCATACTAGGATTTTATGAGAAGATTAGTCTTGGCAAAAATCAGCCAATGGAACTCCCTAATTCTATATTCTTATTATTCTCAGATGTGATTTGAGTCAAAATGATCTATTAGATTTATGTGCTTGTCTTATCTCCATAGCGACTAAGCTAGAACAGTCAAGGTGTTTCTGACCTGTACTAGTGTAGCAGACGGTTATAAAAAATGTAGTCCTAATAATTTTCCCCTTAATAGCTCATCAAATGCTAGTTGACTTGACTGTAAGATAATGTTAGTGCTTGACAGAGAAAATTTAATTGTTGTCTTAGCCAGTCCACAACGATTATGATGGGCTGAATTAATATATGGAATAAAGCCCTCTGGAAGAATCAATATATTTACAATATTCAGGAAAAGTATTCAGTGAGGATTCCACCTTACCCCCTTTGTCCTAAAAGCAAGCACATTCGTGAAAGTTTGTAAATCGCCTACTTCATAACTTTATAGCCCCCCATTTTTCATAGCCAATGTCTAGATTGTCTGTCCCTATCAACCCAGTGCACTGAGGAAACAAGCTTCATCCTTGATATGAAGACTCCTTCAATTCCAGTTGAAATTTTAAGCAACTGCATCTAGAAGCAAAGGTCCAGTTCATCAAATTGTAGCAATTTACACTTGCTCACAGTATCGCACTTCTTTATTTCACCTGGTCAGGTTCCGGTCAGTGCATCAACAAAGCTAGGTCATGTGGGGATTATCTGCAAGTTTGTGAATTCTTGCACACCTCCCTGCACTCCAGACCAGCTGCCTGTTTCCCTCTCAGCTCTAGCCCCCGATGGCTAGGTCAGTGTCCTTGGGTTCATGAATTCACGCATCTCACTAAACTTCTGACCAGCCATCTCTTCCTCTTCTCTCTCTCATCTCAAGGTCAATGGGTGTCAGTGGAACTGGCCAAACTCAGCCCATGTCTTCATTGCTGCATTGCAAAGGGGGTTGTTCCCTGATGGGCTGCCTGACTTTTCCTGCCTTGATGGCTCAAAGGCAAACAGCTGGCTTGATATGCTAACAACCAACCAGTCTGCTTTTTTTTTTTTTTTTTCTGGTAGTCTTTCTTTCAAAAAGTATCTTCTGTTCTTCTAGCCTTTCTGGGTTGGTCTGCATGTCTACTCCAGTGGGAATGTCCCACCTCAGAACGTGTTGGGTGGGGCCTCATACTCCACAAAGGTTTAACAAGAAGCCTATTTCCCTAGGCAAATTCTAATTCCCCCTTTAGCTAATTCAATCAGTTATAGGCTGAAGACAGACTTACAAGCTTTCTGTAATCATAATTACCAATATTCATTTCTATAACACTTAAATATCTTTTTGACAATAGTAGGCAAGGGAAAACAATATCCACAAGATTGTCAAGCTCCTAAACATTTTTCCCCTCTTCTACCCATTCAGATTGTATCACAGAGCACTGGTTTTCCAAGGTTGTATATATATCACTATTTACCTCTATCTCATTTATCCCAGGAATATCTCCTTAAGCCTTCCCTTATCTTCATTGTTCACCTGCCACCCTCCACATTTTTGTGTATTACCCAACTCCTCCTTGATTATTGCCCTCCTGATCACTGGAGCTATCATGTGTCTACCCCTTATCCTGTGAATTACTCTCCCCTCTTTCCCACCCTTGGTAACCATCAAATAATTTTTATTTCAGTATGGAAATCTTTTCTTAAACTTTTACAATAATCATTTTATGCAATATTTGCCCTTTTGTGATTGACCGATGTCACTCAGCATAATGTCCTCAGAGTATTCCATTGTGTGTACCTATCAAAGTTTGTGTATCCATTCTTCCATTAATGTACCCTTAAGCTGTCTCCATTTTTTGCTACTGTGAATACTGCTGTTGATAAACATTGGTGTGCATATATCTCCTCTCTTCTGGCTTATATTTCTTGTGGATATATACCAAGTAGAGGAATTGCTGGGTCATAAGGTGTTTTTATTTCCAACATTCTGAGGAAGCACCATACCATTTTCAAGAGTGGTTGAAACATTGTACAGTCCCACCAACAATGTTGGAGGGTCCCAGTCTCTCCAAACTCTTGCCAGCATTTATTGCCCTCTGCTTCATAACCTCACTGCTAATGCTTGTATGAGATGATATCTCATTGTTGTTTTGATTTGCATTTCTGTAATGGCTAATGATTGGGAACATTTCTTCATTTGTTGATTGGCTTCCTGAAGTGTCTATTCAAGTCTGTAGACTTGGGTTATTTGTCTTTGTGTTGTAGTTTCCTATAAATTTTAGAGATTAGTCTTTTGTCTGAAATATCATTGCAAAAATTTTTTACTCAGTCTGTTTTTACTATTTTTGGTGAAATCTTTTGATGCACATAAGTTTCTAATTTTTAGTATGTCCCAGTCATCTATTTTATCTCCTGTTGTGTGTGTGTTTTGCAATGTTTTATAATCTGTGCATTTCATGTATTAGAGTCTCTAAGTTTGTCCCTATTTTTTCATATATGATTTTTATAGTTCTGGAAGTTACAGTTAGTTTTTTAATCCATGTTGAGATATGGATCTTGTTTCATTCTTTTGCATTGATTTCTAGTTTTGCCAGCACCAAAATACAAAATATACAGTATACAAAAATCAGTTGGAGTCCTGATTTTTAACTGTATAGTGTATTAAAGAGACTGTCTCTTCCCCATTTAATGTATTTTGACTATCAAAAATCAATTGAATGTGTATGTGGATTTATTTACTTCTGGGTTCTCAATTCTGTTTCACTGATCTGTGTGTCTTTCATCATTCAATACCACACTGTTTTGATCACTGTTGTTTTATAGCAAATTTTGAAATTAGGGAGTGAGAGGCCTCCAACTTTGTTGTTCTTCTTAAGCAGTGTTTTTCTTATCCAAGTTCTCTTCTGTTTCCATGTAAAATTTGTGATTGTTTTTTCCATCTCTTTAAAGTATATAGTTGGAAGCTGGATTAGGATTGCATTATATCCGTAGATTACTTTGGACAGTATTGGCATTTTCACAATGTTAAGTCTTCCTATCCATGAGCTTGGTATTTTCTCCCACTTGTTGTAAATCTCTTTTGGTTTCTTGTAATGTTTTGTTGTTTTATTTGTATAGATCTTTTGTTTCTCTAGTTAGATTTATTCCTTAGTATTTCATCCTTTGGGTGGGTATTGTAAATATTATTGTTTTCCTAATTTCCTTTTCAGAGCTGTCTTTACTAGTATAGAGGAATCCAACTGATTTTTATATTGATCTTGTACCCTGCCACTTTACTGAATCTTCAAGTGAGTTGCAGTAAGTTTTTTTCTGAGTATTTGGGATTTTTCTATGCACAGGATACTATCGTCTGCAAATAGAGAATTTTACTTCTTCTTTACCAATTTGGTTGTCTTTAATTTCCTTATCTTGCCTTATAGCTTGGACTAAGACTTTCAACATAATATTGAATGTTGTTGTTGTTGTTAAGTGCCTGTCAAGTCAGTTCCAATCCATTGCGACCCATTCCAAGGAGCAGCTGGTGAGCTTGAACCTGTGACCTTGTGGTTCAAACTGACTGTGCAGCCCAGCGCATTAGACCACAGTGCCACACCAAGCTCAATATTGAATAAGAATGGTGATA